ACAATTTAGATAGAGCGAAGGCAAAGAAAAGAGAAGGAGGGGGAATACGTCGTCGGTGTCGACAGGGACCATGTTGGTCTTGAGCTTGCGGTAGTTCTGTTCGATCGGGTCGAGCGTCTCGCCGCCGCTGCCTGCTCGATGGTCGGTCAACCCAACTGATCGCGCCACACGCGCAACCGCACACGCACGACACATAACCGCACACGCACACGCGGAGGGAGAGGGCGGGGCCGCACCATCCTTGAGGAGCGAAGCGGCGATCTCCATGTCGAGGAGGGCCTCCAGCATGTCGGTCTTCTCGCGCAGCTGCTCCTCCGTCGCGATCAACGGCGGCTGATGATTGCCATAGGCGTGCGGAATGATCCTGGTAACGTCAACCACCACGTGCATCGTGTGCCGTGAGCGTGTGTGCGTGTGTGCGTGCGTGTGCGTGCGTGCGTGCGTGCGGTGCATCTTGAGATGAGGTGAGGTGAAGTGAGACGGAAGGTACGTGTAGAAGCGGTTGGCGCATTCGGTGAGGCGAGTCTTGATGGCGAGATTTGACGGATCACCCTTCTTGAGGATCCCCTGGATCTCCGTCAACACCTCGTACTACACGACCGCACACGTGCCACACACGACACGACACGACCAACGACATGACACGTGACACGACACACACGTCAGCAAATGGGAATGGCCTGCGTGGGGAAGCAAATGGGGAGCGTACGCCCTGCTGGATGTTGCGTTTGGAGAGCTTGCCGAGGGGCATCTTGTTGACGTCGATCTCGAGCTCGAGCAGGGTGTCCTGCATGGCCTTGATGTCGAATATCAACCCCACCAGGTCCTGTTCGAGCGTTCCCCGTGCAACCACAGCACACCAACACCACGTCAGCCACGTGGTCGTGTCGTTGGTCGTGTCGTGTCGTTGGTCGTGTCGTGTCGTTGGTCGTGTCGTTGGTCGTGTCGTGTCGTGTCGTGTCGTTGGTCGTGTCGTGTCGGTACGCGTGCCTGGATGCGTTTGTCGAGTTTGGATTTGTTGCGGCGGAGCTCCTGGGCCTTCTGCTTGATGGCCAGCTCGTCGGTGTCGTCGCCCGAGTAGTCGATCTCGATCGGATAGAACCTGGCGATGGTTGCGATTAACGAATGGACGACAGCGCACGTATGGGACGCACACGCACACGCACAGAGAAAGAGATGCGCGTGTCGTGTGTGTTGTGTGTGGGTTGGGGATAGCCGTACTTGCCGGGCTTCTTGACAAACTGATCGCGGTGCGCCCACGAATTCTCCGTCTTTTCCTGCACGACCGCACACAAGGCATTCAGCGCCCCTCTCTCCACCCATAACCAAACCACGAACCGTACACACGACACGCGACACACGCACGTGTGACCATGGCACACGACACGACACGTGCGCGCGTGCATAAGAAAAGCAAAGAGGCAGAGATGGTCGCGTG